CCAATCAATGGTTCTCTCTCACTGATGTCTCTCTCTCTCTCTCTCTCTCTCTCTTTCTCTCTCTCTCTCTTTTTCTCCCTCTCCTTTCCTCTCTGAAATATAGGGGGACAGTGCGTTCCTCCCATTCTGCCTGCGACTTGGGGGCCGAATCCAGTTCAGGACACAACACAGGAGCACACCTGGCCGGGCACCTGAGCCTCGTGCACTGACAGAGGCTCTGCCTGGTGCCTGGTCCCGGGGGCTCAGAAGTCCTGGAGCTGGAGCTGGAGGTGGAGAGGACCAGGGAGCACCCCTGATCCCCACATCCCTTGCACAGCGCAGGGTGGCATAAAAGCCAAGACTACGGCCTTATCCTGCTTCAACTCCAGTTCCGACGCTCGCTGGGCAGCCCGGCCAGGCCCTGCACCCTCTCCGTGACTCCTGCCCACAGAGCTGTGGAAAGGGCTTCGAAGCACGGCGCCGGGGATGAAAACGCGGTGGGACATTTACACAGCGAAATACTACTCAGCCGTAAATCAAAGAAGGGAGTCTTACCTTTTGTGACAGCATGGAGGGGCCTGGAGAGCATCATGCTAAGTGAAATAAGCCAGTCAGAGAAAGACAAGTATCACATGATCTCACGCATATGTGAAATCTAATGAACAAAATAAACTAACAAACAAAATAGAAACAGAGTCATAGATACAGAGAACAATCTGACAGCTCTTGGGGGGTGGAGGGGAGGTTGGGGCTGGATGAAGAAGGTGAAGGGATTAAGCAAAAACCAGAACAAAACAGAAACAGCCAAACTCATGGACACACAACAGGATGGTGATGACCAGAGGGAAAGGGGTGGGGGAGGTAGGAGAGGAGGGGGGAGGTGATGGAAGGAGATTTGACCTGGGGTGGTGAACACACAATACCATGTACAGGTGATGTGTTATAGGACTGTGCCCCTGAAACCTATATAATTGTATTGACCAATGTCACCCCAATAAATTCAATAAAAATTCTAAAAAAAGAATTTCTCTTAGAATCTAATAATAAAAAATAACTATTGAGCAGGAAAATAACAACACAGCACAGTGCTGGGCCCAGCAGCTGGTCCTGGGGGAGACGTGCAGGACAAAATGAAAGGTGAAGCAGGCCTCCTCCTTCCACGTGTACAGCCTGGGGCGGCATGTGCGCGGGCGCCCTCCACGTGCCCAGCCCCAAGGTGGTGAGGGGGACACGCCATGCCCAAGCCAGACCGCAATCCCCCTCCTCTTGGCCTGCTCGCTCTGGGGAAGGGAGGTCAGAAATGACGGAACGAATTACCAGAGAAGCGGGGGAAGACACGGTGTCTGATGGTGGTGAGGCTCTCGGGAAACATAGCAGGAGGTGAGATGGAGTCTGGCTGGGGGAGGGTGTGATAGTAGACTGTGTTCAGGGATGACCTCTCAGGAAGTGACCCCCGAATCAGGTGGGAAGGAGGAGCTGGGAGAACATTCTAACAGAGGGGGAGCTCTCGACTCCAAGATGCAAATTTCACCCGTGGGGCGGGGCGCGGGGCGCTCCCCGGGTCTGCAAATGGTTATCACAGTGGTGAGCACACAGCGAAGGGCATCCCGGAAGTGATTTCTCACACGGCCACTTCCGGAGGTCCCCGCTGCTGATGCTGCGACATGAGCTGATGGACCATTCGGTGCTCGGCCGTCTGGGAGCCTCTGTGCCCGCAGCCCCGCCCCGGCCACCTCCGGGAGCACTTCCTTATTAAACAGGTGCCGGCTCCCGGGTGCCTCTGTAATTAGGGCAGAATCCACGCAAGGCCACGGAGACGGGGACTGGTCCCCCCCCAGCCCCTACACCAGCATCTATATGCACTGATTACGACAATTAATTTAATAGGGATTCCGCCACACAAACAATGTATCACTTTATTAGGAAACTCTATAAATGTCAGCGGTGCAATTCATTTTTATTAATTTTCCAAAATGGAATGAGCGGCGGCGGCCGCCAGGAGTTGCATTGCCTCCTCGTTCAGCCGAGCACTGGTGCCATTAATTCCCTAATACCAGGAGGCCGGTGGGCATGAGCTCAGCAGTTAACCGCACCGATTAATTTCAGCAGCGGAGACGGGAGGGGGACCCGAACTCAACTCAACAACTAATTGAGGAAGGTCCTTGAACAACCGCAGCAACTTCTCCTCCTCCTGGAGCGGGGAGCCCAGCACTAACAGGAAATGCTCTCCGCCCTCCATCTCGGTCCTGCCCACGTCCCTCCGTCCGTCCGTCCGCGGGGACCCTGGCAGCTGCTTCCCGAGGCCACAGCCTCCAGCCCTGGGACCGCCCCTCAATGGCAGGAGGCACTGCGATATCCCTGCATCGCCCGACCTCACGGCGTGCAAAGCAAGGTCACACACATTACGGCGCTCAGTCCTCACCCATGAGGACAGGCTCGGCGTCAGCTCTGTTCCGTCCGTGAGCAAGAAAAGGGGGGCTTTTAAAGGGACTGAAGTGGCCCTGGCTGGCAGCTCAATTGGTGTCGTCCCGATGCGCCTGGGTTTTGGGCTCAATCCCTGGTCAGGGCACACAGAAGAATCAACCAATGAATGCAGGAATAAGTGGAACAACAAATAATCTATGTCTCCTCTCTCTCTCTCTCTCTCTCTCTCTCTCTCTCTCTCTCTCCCCCCACCCCCCCCTCAAAAAAAGAAATAAGCAATAAAGGGGCTAAAGTGCCTTCTTAATGCCACAGAGCTGCTGAGTGACGGGGGGGCAGGAGGGGGGGCTCAGATCGGATTTGTCAGGACCTGACCCCACCCCTTCCCCTCAGCCACGCTGCCCCTTGTGCCCCGAGATACGAAGCCCTTTGGCTCCAACTAGATTCCAAAAAGCCATGTGAGTCAGGCATGACCCCGAGGGGCACTGACTTCTCAGTTGGAACCCAAATTCTAAAGTTGAAACACAAGGCAGAACCCCCCTCCCCACCCCGCCCCCAGCCAGGCCCCGCCTTGAAGTGGTCGACTGCTCTGCCATCTAACGGTGGCCGCAGCAGGCCCAGGCCCGCCTCTGCACATCTGCAGTCAGCTGGCTGCCCGGACCCCACTTGCTGCCTAAACAGAGCTCCTCCCTCCCCCTGGATCCAGGAGAGTCTCCCCGAGGAGCGAGGGGCGCAGAGGAGAGAAGGGTGCAGAGGAGCGAGGGGCGCAGAGGGGCTGGGGCTGCTCAGGGTGAACCCCGCTGCCGGGCGTCGGGGACGGGCAGAGGCAGAAATCAGACCTCTTTCTCCCTGAGGAAACAGGGTTCTCAAAGTGGGGTCCCAGGTAGGCCACATCCATCACCTGGAACCTGTTAGAAATGTCAGGTGCTCGGGCCCAGCCGGACCTACTGAGTGAACTCTGGGGTGTTAACATGGGTATGTTAACAAGCGTCCCGCTGACTCCCATGCCGCTCAAGTTAATCACGCCCTGGAAGGAAATGCCCCCAGAAGAGGAGAGGGATGAACGTGCCGGGATCTCCACAGTTTGAGAAACGCTATGCTCCCCAAATAGTCAACTGTGTTTCCATTCACTCCCCACCCCGCCCCCACCCCACAGTCTTCTCTGGGGCTTGGCCAAGGGAACTGCCCTGGCGATGCAGCAGGCGTGACAGACACCACAGCAGCAGGGTTTCAGGCATGGACTGCCCGGGGCCTTAGGCTACGGCCACCCCCAGGAGAACCACACGTCCCAGACAGTGAGCGAAAGGACACGGCGAGTGCTCCCGGCCACACCCCAAAGCCACAGCCAACACAGACCCATGTGCAGGACATCAAAGTCTGCGAGTCCCTAAGTGCGAGGCTGCTTCTTACACAGCATCATCACAGCAAAAGCTGACTGCTACAAACCACTTGATTCTCTAGCAAAGGAAACCCTGGCCCAGTAGGCTGGGGGGTGAGGACACACGCAGCAGAATTCGGGGAGAGCTGCGAGACCCAGAGCCGTCTCTGCCCGCCCAGAGACGCAGGGCACCAGCCTCTCCTCAACACCCTCGGCCTCTGCGGACTCTGCCGCCACCTGGAGGACACTAACCACTGAAGCCCGTGCCTGAGGAAGGGACCCTTGCAAGTGCCTTCTAGAAGGAACGAGCACACGAGAGCCTCTCTCCAGGGCTCAGGAAGGAAGAGTGGGTCGGGCCGGTGACCACGGGGGCAGCAGACACACCCTGGTCCCACTTCCCACACCGGGAAGATCTTGTGCTTCTGCCCAAATGAGATGGATGGAGCATCCCACCTCCTGCATCCAGCCCTCAGCCCGGCGCTCACATAAGCCCGCTCTCCACACCGACAAACACCTGCCCGGCACGGCCCACAGGAGAGCCGTGGCAATGGGGGTGGGGCCACGAGAGCTGGGGAGGAGGGAGGAGGCTGCCTGTCAAATAAGCCTGAATGGCCGCTGTCACACACCCACCCCCTGCCGGGCAGAGTGCAGGTCCCCGTATCCACGCCAGCCAAGCCCTCTCCTCCCCCCCCCCCCCCCCCGCGGGCGGGGGGAGAAGGTCGGGGTCTGTGGGAGTTGGAGGTTCAAGGACATTTACCGAGTCATAAACCGCAAGCGTAGCCACCGCTTCTGGCCTGGGAGGCCTCCTGACCGCCAGGAATAACCCAACTTCCATTTGTAAGCCTCACTGGGATGGGCGTGGGCCGTTCAGGAGTTCCCTTTTAAAAAGTGAGTCTCTAGACAACACGGGTGGCAGGTGGGCAGGTTCCCAAAATAAACGCCCCCGAGGTTCCCGAGGGCCGAGGCTCGCAGGGCGCCCGGCAGGCAGGGGGCGCGGTGAGCGCCAGGGAGAGAGCAACACCCCGCCTGCTGGCCGCCGCGGGACCACCCTGCCCTCGCGCCCACGGTCTCGGGCCAATCAGCGCGCCCTCGATGCCACGAGCCATCACACACAACGTGGCACTTCCACTCGCCCGGGGCCCTGACCGGCCCGATCAGGCAACCCATGAAAATCAACCCATTTACTGTGCGTATCGGAAAAGCTGCGAGATCCGGGCATTACCTTGTCTTAGGGGATGTGGTGAGCCATTCTTCGTGCTTCTCAAACGTGATTAAATAAGCTGCGATTTCCTGAAACAGAAGAACAGAGAGATAACAACTACGGTTAGCCACTGGGTGCTGAGAGGTGACGTTCCGCTGTGCCCGGTGCCCGGCGGCTGCCTCCTCTGTGGGGCCGGACCCACACCCCAGGGAAACCGCCACGTGGGCTGCGTCCGTTTTACTTGTTTAAAGCCCTTTCCATTCACCCTGCCGCCCAGCAGCCGGCTAAGCACCGGCTCTCAACGACGAATGGGTGGCAGGGACCAAGCTATTTCTCTGTGGGTGGGAACGTCAGACACCACTGCCGATTCTCAATGTCATCGACTTGAAAATGGGGGAAACGCATGCCCACAGCAGGTCTCCACTCGCGAGGTCGCCCTCGGAAAGTTCCGTCTGTCTTCTTCCGAAGCCGGACTGGCCTTTCACAGTGTCACAGAGACGCTGGCTCTCCCAGCTTGATCCCAACCCAAGCCCATCACAGAGACCTCACAGATACGGTAAATTCAATTCCAGGGAGATGGGGGCGGGGGGGAGATGGAGAAGGAGTGAGAGGGAGGGAGATGGAGAGGGAGAGAGAGGGAGACAGAGGTGGGGGGAGAGAGAAGGAGAGAGAGAGAGAGGAGAGAGGGAGAGAGGACCATTCCCACTCCGATAACTTAATCCATTGAGCTGAGCCATGTCAGCAGAGTTGAGGCAAAGATGGAGAAAATGTGGGCACCTGGAGGTAAATTAAATATTTATAAACACAACAACTTCCCTGCAGATGGAATTACTGATTTATTAATAAGTTCCATAAAAAGCTAGGGGGTGACACCCACATAAGTCACTGCCCAGCTCAGAGCATGACACGGCCCATTACTCCCAGCTCCACACAGACCCGCTGACGGCGCCTGGCAGGGACTGCGCGTTAAACTAAGGCTGCACCGGCCACGTTCCCCTGGATCTTGGTGATGGCTGGACGCGGAGCTGCTGCCCTGGACTGTCAGAAAAATGCGGGCGGAGGCCCCCATCTAACTCCTCTGCGGCCAGGGGGCCTGGCAGGCTCCGGCCTGGAGCAGGCCTCCCCCAGGGACACAGCCCTCCCCCAGGAGTGCAACCTTCCTCAGCAGTCACCCCACAATGGGCGGGGACACGTACAGCACACCTGTGGCCTGAGACCCTAAACTTGGCTTTGGGGACAAAGCAGAGACTGTCACCAAAGCCAGGGAGGGAGAGCAGGTTAAAGGAGAAAACAGCAGCGTGCCACGCAGTGCGCATGCCACAGGCCCCAGCAGAGATGGGGTGACAGCATCTGGAAGCCAGCCTCTGCCACGAGGGGGCCACTCGGTGCAGGAGGGGAGCCGGGCCTACGGCAAAGGCGGCTGCCGCATGTTGGGTTTCCACCACTGACTGCAGCTGGCGCTGAACGACCAGCAGTGTTCTCACCCCCGAGCAAACGTGTGGTGTTTGTGAACGTTTATTACTGAAGATGGTTGAAGCCAGAGCTTAGGTGCAGCAAGATGCAGCCGTTGCCGGGTACACCCTGCCGGTGACTTGGCTAACTTGGTCACTGGGGGAGGTGACAGGCCGTCGCCGTGAAGGACATGAGCTCCGGGAGCAAACAGACCCGCTGGGGCTGCGGCGCGGCCACGCTCAGCTGTCAGTCTGGAGCCTGTGACTCAGCCTGTCTGCACCTGAGATCATGCACCCACGGGGCAGTCAGGAGCGATGGTTCTTAATACACTTAATACACAGCCACGCCCGTGACCACGGCTACCGCTATCATCACCACAGGTCTCCGCGGTGTGAGCACTGTCCACAGGCCGATGGGGGAGCAGGGACTATGTGGTCCCTCCGAGGTCGCCAGCACTGGTGGGCTTGTCTTCGTCGATCCCCACCCTGCACCCCCTACACCCCTGTGCCCCTGCACCCCCGTGCCCACAATGAGTGGCACTATCACGGTGACTGCTCGGAGTACCTAGAGTCAATCCTCCCATTATCTACAGGCGCCCGTTTGTTTTCACGGAACACCGAGAGCAGATGGTGGGTGAAGTCAGTAGTCGGGTAAACTGAGCCCCTGTGTGCCGGCCACCCACCTGCACTTCAGGGAGCGTGGCGTGCAGAGGCCTGGTCTGTGCCAACAGGAACCCCTCGGATCCCTGCCCTTGCCCAGGACCATGCTGGGAACTGTGATCCCCGGCCCAGAGGGATGGGGACACACTGCGTCCCAGCCACCTCTAAGTTTATCACAGTGTCCCTCCCAACGACCCAGACACCCAAAGAAGACCTTCGTGAACACCCCTCAGCCAACCCTCACTCCACCTGGCAGAATCCCCCCGGCAACTGCCCTTCACAGAGAAAAGCTCCACCTGCCTGGCGAGGCTCAGTGGTTGAGCGTTGACCTAGGAACCAGGAGGGCTCGGTTTGATTCCCTGTAAGGGCACGGGCCCAGGTTGCAGGCTCCATCCCCAGTGTGGGGTGTGCAGGAGGCAGCCAATCCATGATTCTCTCTCATCACTGATGTTTCTCTCCTTTCTCTCTCTCTCTCTCTCTCTCTCCCCCTCTCTCTCCCCCTCCCCCTCTCTCTCCCCCCCTCCCCCTCTCCCTCTCCCTCTCCCTCTCCCTC